AGTGCCTGGCACAGCAGGTATCCAACAGAGCATTGTTAAAAGCACTGAATGTAGGGATTTATAAGCAAAATTCATCTTCAAACTTTAGGAATCTGTACCAAGTCCACTTACACTTGTACACATGTGATACGTGATTAAAAAAACCATATGCCTAAGGCAGTATTCTTATAGTCTATATGCCTGACCAACATACCTGTTACAAAGGACGAATTACAAGGAAAGTAAACAGTTAAAGGAACAGCTACATTTCAGATACCAGAGCCACAGAAAATAGTTCCAGATCCTCAGATTTATGGAATAGCAAACATAAGATTACAGACTTCACTCTCCACTGACCAGTGGAGCTACCAGTATGGTACCCTAAACTTTCTACCACCAAAAACTCCTATTAATTAATCTAAAAGCACCTAACATTTAGAGATTTCTATCACATAGAGAGCTTTAATACCTAACATGTTCAGCTTTGTTTCCCCCTTTCTTAAAAATTATAAATGACTCAGAACTTCAAATCTATACAAGATAACCAGTTTTCCCACAGAAAGCAAAGATAAAAACAAATAAACCCCACAAAGCTTCAAGATCTAGACATTCTAGTTAATCTGACCTAACAATGAATAAATAGGCAGGTTATCAAAAGTTTTCTGCATTGTAGAAAATAAAACAAAGACTAGTACAGTGGCTATGAGTGTGAGTGTATGCTCTAAATCAAGAATGCCTGGGTTGAATCCTGGATCCATCACTTATTAGCTCTCTAACCTTGGGCAAGCTACTCAACCTCTCAGCACCTGTTTTCCCATCTGTAAAATAGGAATCATAATAATACCTACTTCAAAATGTTGTGAGGACCGAATAAATTAATGTATGTAAAATGCTTGGAGCTACCTGGCACATAATAAGCACTTGATAAAAGTGAGCTAGAAAATCACCATCTTTATGGTTCACCCAAGGATTTGAGAAACCACTGCCATACATCAAAACTAGTAATTGCACTTTGCAAATTCTCTGCAACAAATTAATCCTGTATGAAGAAAAAAATTTTTCCCCAGTCCATGTTTATATGACAGTTTCTCTTGTGGACAAAATACTGGATTGTACTGAGATTTGTTTCAAATGGGAGGGGGAGGAAGTAAAGGGGATAGGAGAAAAAAGATCGGCCCTTAAAAGAATAACTACAAAAAAAAAAGAATAACTACAGAAGTGGGGTGATCAGAAGGGGGGAGGTGTCATTACTTTTCTGATTTTGTTCATATTTAAAGTTCATATCAAAAACAGCTAAAAGGAAATCTTAACAGATTTTTCTGTTTTACAAATGATTCTACTTTCCTATATCCCCCTTTTCTTCAAAAAGTCACTTAAATTCTCATACACCTTCCAAAACAGACCAACCCATTCAATGGTTGGAAGCAAAACATCGTGGAGATATCATGAACACAACATATTCCAGTTTTTCCTACTACTTCTTCAGAGAACTTGCTAATTCACTACAGAAAGGCTGGCTCAAATCATCTACCCCTGACTAGGTATATAGTTTTCAGCACCATTCCCAAAACAGAGTAATTATTTCGAATAGTCAGGACCTTAAGATTAACTATATCATCACTGTCATCATCATAAATAATCTGAAACTATTTCAATATGCTAGGACCTATACTAAAATACATGCATTATCTTCTTAAATCTAGACAATAAGCCTATGAGAGATAACTCTCTCTACTCACAAATCAGAAATTGGGGTTCACAACTTAAGTACTATGCATAGAATCACCCAGGTTATTAACTGATGGAATTACTATTTGAACCTATGTCTACTCTAAAGTCTGTGTTTTTCTACTTTTCCATATTGATTTCCATTAAAAATGGGAGGGATGAATGAAATATAGAAATGACAATAGTCATATTGCACATCAAGCCTATGTAAGAGCCACATTTTGAAACTGTAAACAACCATATCTATTATTTCTTTTACTAAATTATAAATGTGGCCTTCTGATAAACAGAAATTAAAACCATTCAAGTTCCTGATTAACTATTTCACAAAATTATATTGGCAAATATCTATTGATTACTTATTGTGTGCCAAACACTGTTCTAGTTGCTTGGGATACAGCAGCAAAGAAGACATAGCCCTGGTGAAACAACATAGACAACAAACATATAATAAATAACTGAATTTCATAAAACAAAAAATAAAGTGATATGATAGAATTCAACTGAAAGCACTTAAAATAAGATCATTATGGAAGACCTTTCTGAGGAAGTAATATCTGAGCTTGGATCTAAAATGGTAAGAGCAATGGAAGAGCCTGAGAAGTAGTAAGCAGGGCAGATATAGTTTAAGAACGTGTAGACCTTTTTACCTGTAGTAAAAGAAGTTTAACTCTTAAGCCTGTTGCAATGGAATGTCACTAGAGGATTTTAAAGCACAGAAATGACATGGGTTCATGCTACAGAAAGATCACTTTTGGAAAATGATAGCAGTGAAAGGGTCGAACAAATTAAAACAAGCCTGAATAAAATTGGTAAAACCTACCATGGAGTCTGTCTTCAGGAAGACTACTTGCCTTCTCTAATAAATTATTTTCTTTATTTCTATTTATTTATTTTTTGGCTATATCATGTGGCTTTCAGTATCTCAGTTCCCCAACTGAGGACTGAACCTGGGTCATGGCAGTGAAAGCCCAGAATCCTAACCACGAGGCAACCAAGAACTCCCAAAATTATTTCCTTTAAAGTGAACTAAAGTCTCTTAATATACATTATGAAATAAAGGGTAAAATGAAAATATCTCAGGATGAGTTATACAGTTACTTAAATTCACACTGAGGTCTAAATATAAATTACTAAAGAACAGATGCCAAAAGAAACAAAGAGAAGCAAAAGTGGCATCAGGAAAATGGACAGAAAGGCTGTGAATGCCAAAGACATCTATTGCACAAATTTGCCTAAAGTTGATTTAGAAGCCAAACTCCAAAATAATTCTAACACTACTCTCCTGAATATTTCTCTCAAAAGGTTTTATTTACAGTAAGACAGATGACATTCACTAATGTAAACACAAAACAACTACAAATTACCCTTAGCCATTTTAGAAAGTTAAGCCCATTCCACCAGGGGAAAAAAATCAGGTTTATAGAAAGCCAAAAGCATTTTGTGACACAAACTTTATATAATGCACTTCAAAAGAAGTATTGTCTTCCTAGAGCAACCATTCTTTTTCACTCTTAAAATATCAGCAAGGGAAATAAGCTCAGGCACAATGTAAAAAGCAGAGGCAGAAAAATTCTGGCTCCAGTGTATCTCATCATCAGTGACTAGAAAAAATATACTGTAATTGTCATATGTAATCCCACAGACAGGGATAGGGACCAACTTATCTTTGCAAATGAAGTAACCATACAGTTAAAGCACCAGAGCCCAAAGGTAGGAAAATGTTTCAAAACAGGGAAGAAAAATATGTTTAAGAACAATATGTCCTCAAGCTTGAGCACTGCTTGCTACCACTGGCAGATCAAATACATTAAAGAAAAATCATGAAAACATTATTTTACAAAATTAAATGTGACCACTGTCATCTGATATGGTGGAGTCAAATCCCAACTCCACCATAAGCTTAGCAGCTTCCTTAATATTTCTGAGTCTTAGTTTCCTCATCGGTAAATCCATGATTAAAAAATCTACTTAGGGTTAGTTTAAGGTAGAATGAGCTACTAGACATACTGTAAATGACAAAAGGCCTGGGCACATAGTAGATACTTATTATTCGAGTCTTTGATAGTGAGGAGTACCTTTATTGTATTTTTTAATTTTACCTCTTGGAAAGAAGGCAATTTTGATCTGCTATTGGTAAATACAGATAATCTCGCAAAACGTCTCTCCCAACAATAACTATAGACAAATGGTTTGAAGTTTTCAGGTCTATGATTTTGCAAGTTTTATCCATCCGTTCCCTAAAAAAAGTAAACACAGATCAAAACACTACGGAGAGAGTAGCAAAAGTGGAATAATAATAATAACAACTGGCTGATGGGTTTCACTGGTGACAAGAAGCAACAACAAACATAAAATTCAGAGATACACAGGGTCAACCGTCTCTTCTATGTAGGAAGCAACAATGACTTCTCCACACTTCCTTCGTCCTAAAGATTTGAAATCTGCAAACAATCCACGCTTCCTGACAATTTAATAGACTTCTTTTCCGCAGTAAAGCAGCAAAGTGAAATAAAATCAGCGAAGTAGACAAAAAAACAATTAACTCGGGGTGAGGGGGGGAGTAGTACATATTCAAAAAGCACACTTCTGATTCCTTGTTTTGGTTACCTATGAAACCAATTCCTATTCTTTAAAAACGTATCTGAACTGACTGAAAAGTAGACGGATATGTTTTCCATTTTAAGGTATTAGTGGCAATACGGACTACGGTTGTTTTTGGTCAGTATCAAGAAGCCTGTATTTTACTGCAGCAAACACAGGTTGAGGAAAACCTCTCAGGTGGTCGGTTGCCTGAGCTCTATGTGGCGCTCACGTTACCTCTTCGTCTAGGTAAGGTTCTTCTTACTACACATCACAAGTTTTAGGTCAGAGGAAAATAGAATTGTCCAACACATTCCCGCGAAGTAGGTGCATTTACTACTGCTTAAACCATAGCAGTACAAGAAATCATTAACACATTAAGGCCTATTAGAAATAAACGGACGCGACAATTTCTGTGAACGTTCAGTACATACAACACCTCACAAGGCTCTGAAATAACATACAAATCTCCAAAGAATTGGGCCCAACGGCCCAAGGTCACACCAAGCCAGTGGCTATAAAATCCAAGAAATTACAGTTCAGACAATCCTGGCTAGAAATAAGTCTGGGTTTGGCAACACTTGGGTTGAAGCTCTAATGTGAACAACCCCAACCGAACGCAGCGGCTCCACAGGGAAACCCTAAACGTTTCGAGCAGTATTTCCTTCCATTACCCAGTCTTCCCTTCCCTGGGCACCCCCAACACTCACATCTCCGGAGCCACTTCATCCAATGGTAGACGATAGTAGTGTGGTGTTTCTTGTTCTCTATACACCAAGACGACAAGCCTTGAATAGATTCCATGGTGTTAGTTACCGACTGGAATTTTCGATCCAACGAGGACTCCAGAGCCCCTGCCGAAGAGGCCGACGAGGAGGAGGCCTTACTGCCGCCTCCGCCGCCGCCGGCCGCCATCTTCCCGGTTTGCACAAGCGCTGCTGCTCCTCTGGCGGCCGCGGCGGCGACAGCGGCGGCGGCGGGAGCGGGCAAAACAATCACTGCGAGTGCGTGAAAGCCGCAGGTGGGGAGGGAGGCCAGGGGGTGGGGATGGTGCACGCGCTAGGCTCTTCTGGAGGTAGGACGGGAGGACCAGGTGCTGGGCACGCTGGCGGCTCCTACACGCTGCAAGTAGGGGCTGCGGGTTTCGAATGTTTATCAGAATTGTTCAAGGGATTGTGTTTAAACCAGTCAGCAATCACGAAGAATTACGCAGAAAACAGCTCTTGCAAAGCCTTTCTAAACGTCTGGCCCGGAAATTAAATGGTTTTATACTCTTCGGCTCTCAACGCTTAAGGCCCTTCCCCAACACTCCTCTAAGAGTGGGCGTTAATATCTTAAAGTAAATACTACCCGACTGCCCCTTCAGTTGCAGAAATCTCTCCTTTAGGTCCTCTAGCACAGAAAAGCCCAAGGCTACCTAGTCAGGAATTTTTTTGCAACGCAATAGCAGCAGCGGGACAGCAACAGTACCGCGCACGCGCTGCTTGGACCCGCCCCCCTGCTTCCTTCTCAGCCTAGAAAGCAGAGGGAGGCGTGATGGCGGGGCAACCTGGCCAATCAAGGGAGAGGACGAAGAAGCGCGCGCAGAAGCCCACAAGCCCCAAGGGCTAAGGAGGCGCTTCGATGCTTTGTGCGCCTGCGCGACAGGCCAGCGTGTAGCGGCTTGGGAGGAAAAACCGGGAGGGAAGGGCGAGGGAGTTGGTGACTAAAGAGAGGTTGGGGGGAGGGGCTTCACCGCTCCACCCCGCGTTTTGCTTCCTAGTGAGGTGTCTCTCTTGGAGCTGTCCAGCTCACACCACAGGACCGGAAACTCCCACCGTTCAGCGGCCACTTATTTTCTGGCACTTGCAGCTGCCGCTGCCGGCGCCGCTGCTAACTCCTCGGGGCACCGAGGCGCGACAAAGTAGATGGCAGCCATCTTGCAGTGCCTCAGAGGGCGCGCATGCGCCAGCTCCGGCAAGCCATTCACTACGCAGACTCCCAGACCAAACAATTTTTTACACTTCCCTTGGACGATACCATTCACAGCCCCTTGACTTTTTGGATCATAGGAAGAGGAAGTAAAGGACGTGAAACGAAAATTTTCCCTGTAGAATTTTCGAGACAAGGAAACAATAAAAAGCAAGATGTGATTCACCATCGCCAATTATGATGCAGTCTTGCAATTGCATAATACTTTATAGTTTAAAAAACCCTTAGAAATCTATTATATTGATTAGCACAACCTAAATTAACCAGGCCATAGCATCTGCCTATGTAAAACTCCTGGATAGATTTGGAGGCTTCTGTGTGCCACTAAGCACATACAGTGATTGTATTTTAATTCTTTTCACGTCTCCACAGTAGACTCACATTTACCTGTTTTGTCAAGCTCACATTGTTAAATTGCATATATGTTAATCCAACAAAAAGTTGTTGTCTTGTGTCAAGTACAGTTCTAGATGTGGGGCGGTAACAGAGCAAAACAGACAAAAATCCCTTTCCTCTGGGGTTTATTGGCAGGAGACCATAAAAATACCAAGGAGTAATAAGTTCTCCTGCAATGCGAGAGACCGGGGTTCGATTCCTGGGTCGATTCCCGGGTCAGGAAGATCCCTGGAGAAGGAAATGGCAACGCACTCTAGTATTCTTGACTGGAGAATCCCATGGACAGAGGAGCCTGGTGGGCTACAGTCCATGGGGTCGCAAGAGTCGGACATGAGTTAGCGACTAAACCACCTCCAATAAGTTCTATCCACGCAGGGTAAGAAAGAGAGGGTACTGTGTGTGTGTGTGACCGTTAAGGGAACGGTGGTTTGGTGATCAAGGACGGCTTTAGGAAGGAAGTGATAATTGGATCTGAATGCTGAGCACAAGGTAACCAAGCAAATATGGGGGAGGGAAGAGTAAAAAGCACGCTGGCAGAAGAAACAGCTAGTGCAAAGGACCTAAAACATGAATGTCTTGAAATATTAGAGGAGGAACAAGGAGGCCAGTTTGACTAAAGAGGGGACAAATAGTAAAATATGAGATCTGAGAGGTGAAGAGAGAGAATTCATGTAGGGCCTGGAAGTCCACTCTCAAACTTCGGCTTTCTACTTTGGGATTTGAAACACTTATAAGCAGAGCAGCTTTAAACAAAGTTACATAGCATCCTTCTTAAAAGATTATATTGGTTGCTATGTTGAAAATAGACTTCAGAGTAACCAGTTAAGGAAAGTATTGCAGTAATCCAGACAAGGAGATGATGGTGGCTTCTACTAGGGTGGCAATAAAAAAAAAGAGAGAAGTGGTGTCAGATCCTAGATATAGTTTGAAGGTAGAGTCCAACGGATTGCTCATAAATTTAAGGGGAATATGAAAAGAAAAAGAAAAAAAAAAAAGAGGCAAATATGGCACCAAGGTTTTAGACCTGAGCAACTAGAACGGTGTTTCTCAGCTTTTTTTTCCATTACTGTTGACCCTGAAGATTCTTCTTAGATATTTGTTCCTATTCCCCCTAGCCTGCATGAAATGTTAATGCCACAGATACACTGTTTATCTGTTTATGTACTGTCTATATATCTGTTCTTTATACAAGAATAAGAATGAACTTTGTATTCAATGCAGAATTAAGGATGACTAAAATCTTTAAGTTAAAAATTAAAATTTTTTGGACTTCTCCAGTGGTCCAGTGGTTAATAGTCTGTCTGCCAATGCAGGGACATGGGTTCAATCCCTAATCAGGGAGAATTCCACATGCCAAGGGGCAACAAAACCCGTGTACCACAACTACTAAGCCGGAACTCTACAGCCAGTGCTGTGCAACAAGAGAAGCCACTACACTGAGAAGCCCTTGGACCACAACTAGAGAGTAGCCCCACAGACACACACAACTAGAGAAAGCCTGAGTACAGCAACAAAGACCCAGAGCAGCCAAAAAACCTAAATTTTTTAAATTAAAAAAAATTTAATCCTAGTAATATATAATGATTTTATAACTATTTACTAAGTAAACTTTAATGTAATTTATTTCTGTAAGTTGTAATTCATTACACTACATATGTAAATTACCAATTTATGTAAATACTTAATAGCAATGTAATCAGTTTTTAAAAAATCATTCAAAACTTATTTTCCAGCAAAAGTGAAATAATTGAAAAATTTCTTAAAATATTTTAGTGAACTTGTATTCGACATGAGAAAATTGCTAGCTGCTAGAGATTCATTCAAATATTGACATTTTTTCTTCTCGGCATTGACATAGTGATGAGTTAAATAGCTTTTGTAGAATTAAATAATATAAACAATTTTTCTTTGCTTCTCAAAGTCCAAATCATGCACAGAAGCACAGAGAATCAAACATAACAGTCGTGACAGCAGTAACTGTGCATAGGCACTTCCTTCACTATTTCTTACGAAGCCCCCTACTTCACAGTCAGTAAGGCCACTGACTTCAAAATAGGTCATTTGAGACAGATAAAGTTCTCCAATCACAGCCATCTGTTCCCCATAGTTTTGTAGCACTGATTTTGCATACATTTTTTATATCTTCCATGAACTCAATGTCATTGCTTCTTGTGTCATAGCCAAGAAAATGAGAGAAATTAAATAAAGTGTAAGATTTTGTTGGGTAGAGTTCAGTTTTAGTAAGTCACAAAGCACTGCAATGTCTATAACTTTTTCATTCCCTCAAGTTCATAAAAGAAGTCTTTTTTTTCCTATAAATAGGAAACATCAATTTAAGAATTGCCAGTATATATATGATCTTAAAGCCTTGACATGGATGAGGCCACCCAGGAAGTGAGTGAGCATGCTGCTGCTGCTAAGTCACTTCAGTCGTGTCCAACTCTGTGCGATCCCATAGACGGCAGCCCACCAGGCTCCCCTGTCCCTGGTATTCTCCAGGCAAGAACACTGGAGTGGGTTGCCAGTTCCTTCTCCAATGCATGAAAGTGAAAAGTGAAAGTGAAGTTGCTCAGTCATGTCCGACTCTTAGCAACCCCATGGACTGCAGCCCACCAGCCTCCTCCATCCATGGGATCTTCCAGGCAAGAGTACTGGAATGGGGTGCCATTGCCTTCTCTGGTGAGTGAGCATAGATATTAATAAAAGTCCAAGGACTGGGCTATCAGAAGCAAGTTTCAAAGGAGACAGAAAAGCAATGACCAGTGAAGGAGAACCCAGAAAGTAATATTCTGAAAGCCATGTCATGAAAGTCTGTTAAGGAGGAAGTAATTGTGTCAGGTATTGCTGCATAGGTTGCATGAGAACTGAGATAATCACTGAATCTGGGAAACACACTAGTAATTGGTAGGCTTGACAAAGGCTGTTTCCAGGAAGTGACTGGAGAGGGCTCTGGAGAGAATGGGAGAAGTGGCATTATCATATATAGACAACTCTTGCATGAAATAAAGGGGGAGCAGAGTAATGGAACTGAAGCTGGAGGGAAATGTGGGCTCACAGGTCATTTTTTTTCTAAGATGGAAGATAATGTACCTATTTTCAGATGCTATGGCTGATACACAATAGAGATGGGACAATTGCTGAATTGATTTCCTTGATTAAGTGGGAGAGGATAGATCAAATGTTAAATCCATAGACAGTTCCTTTCTTGTAACAGGAAGGTAGAGAATCTAGGTAGAAATTCCGGTAAGTTGATAGATTTGTTGAGCATGTGCAGAAATTCTCTTCAGTTGCTTTCTTTTCTTAGTGAAACATGTGCTGAGGAAGCACACTTTTAAGTCAAGATATGTTAACTGCCAATTCCAGTGCACCGTTTATAGTCTCAACCCTTACCTTTTCTGTTAAGTACTGTAACGGTTTAGAGTAAGACACATAGAACCAGACCGCTCAAATTCAGACTCTGCCACTTGTCAGTGGCAACTTACTTGCCAGTGGCCAGAGGTAAATTTCTTTATCTGTGTGTGGTGCTATAATTATTAAACGAGTTAATGCATGTAATGCTCAAAGCAGTGCTGCCTGGCTTAGAAAGATTTGATGATGTTGATGTTAGCTATTATTACATTTAAATCTTTCTTAAATTCATTTCCCTTTACTTCTATTATACAGTTTTTAATTAGATCCCACTAAATAAATGGCTTTTTCTGCCCATTGCTAGTTTTTATACACTTGGTTTGCCAAAGTTCCATCTTTAGCCCTTCTCTCATCTTTCTGCTCATTCTCTCTCAAAGGTTAAATTTATCACTTGCATTCGCTTACAAAGTTATCCTGGTTATCTTTAATTTTACCTGTTGCAAGAGCTTCCCTCATAGCTCAGTTGGTAAAGAATCTGCCTGCAATGCAGGAGACCCTGGTTTGATTCTTGGGTCGGGAAGATCCCCTGGAGAAGGGATTGGCTACCCCACCTCAGTGTTCTTGGGCTTCCCTTGTGGGTCCGCTGGTAAAGAATCTGTCTGCAATATGGGAGACCTGGGTTGGGACGATCCCCCAGAGAAGGGAAAGGCTACCCACTGCAGTATTCTGGCCTGGAGAATTCCATGGACTGTATAGTCCATGGGGTTGCAAAGAGTCAGACAAGACTGAGCAACTTTCACTTTCACCTAGTTATCAAATCCTATAGACTTCTACTTAAAAATTTCTTCCATAAATTCCCTTCTTTCCATCCCCTTACCTAAGGGTTATCACCATTCTAATCAACTATGTCAACAGCATCATGATCAGCTTTCCTAGTCTCTCTGTTCAGCTTATATACATTACCAGTATATAATATCCTAGTTTTCATCTACTCAAAAATCACAACCAAAAAAAAAAAAAAAATCACAGCCAAAAAACTTATTTCTAGATTGTAGGTAACAATCTACCAAGTTAAGTAAATGCTCTAGCTTTGAAGACCATCCACAATGGTTCCAACCCATCTCCCCAGTATTATCTCAAATACCTTTCCTCCGTGGTTCTTTGGGCTCCAGTTTTTTCTTAAATGTATCTGTAATTTTCTATTTATGAATTCTGCCTAAAATGGTCTCTTCTATTACCAAAATTCCATCTATCTTTCAAGAGCTATCTTGAATTGTCTCTTTTATGTAAACTTTCCTGATCATTCCAACTGAATTTCTCTTTTGAACAGTAGCATTTTCTGCCCTGAATAACTTTATGTTTACTTACCTACAGTAATATTGCATTGAGTAACATGCAAAAGCACCCTAATTGCTAAATAGTGGTGTTGTTCAGTCGCCAAGTTGTGTCCGACTCTTCATGACCCCCATGGACTGATGCACATCAAGCTTCCCTTTCCCTCACTATTTCCTGGAGTTTGCCCAAGTTCATACCCATTGAATAGGTGATGCAATCCAACCATCTCATCCTGTGTCACCATTTCTCCATCTTCAATCTTTCCCATCATCAGGGTCTTTTCCAATAAGTCAGTGTTAGTTATGACAAAATTCTTACCCAAAAATAATCACTGGTATATGCCAATGATACTGCCATTGTTCAAGATGCTTCTGGAAATTCATCAAGGTAAGCCACATACAGGAAGGGAAAATCAGTCCAATTACTTTATATTTGCATTTTTAAACAAAGAAAGTTATTATCTATCTTAACCATATCACTTAATTCTAAATAACAAATTCCTAATGACTTTTAAAATTCTTACAAAGTCTACAGAGGACAAATAACTACCATTAACTAAAGATATATATTCAAACAGATTATGAAAGAAATTACTAAAGTCCACAAGGTATCTTAAGTGGTGCCAGCATCCCAAGATAGGAACTATTCTGAGATTAGCATTCATTTGAAAAGAACACATCTGTCCTTAACACCTATTTCACAAATGACATAGCATATGTAGGGACTAAGTTTGGGTTCTAGTGAAATCTGGGTTCAGATTAAACTCCATCACTTACTAGTCATAACCTGGAGCAAATTACTTACTCTAAGCCTCAGGATTTCTCACCTGTAAGATCTACTTTCCTCATAAGTCTGTTCTGATAAAAGAGGTACTGCTTACTGAGCAGTGCTCAATATAGTATAGGATCAGCAAACTAAAAAAACAAACAAGTAACATCCTGAGACACAGGGAGTTAAAAAGACTTACTCAAGACAAGGATTAAGTCTCATTATGGGTAGTTTATAAAGAACATAAAACTCCTTTTAGTTCTTCGGCAAACATTTTAGAAGCTGTGTATAAATTATTTACACACATTATTTGTAATAATTATAATAAAAGCAAAAGCACTCATTTCTGACGTTTTCTCCTGGGTTTGCTTAAATCAAGAAATATAAAGTATGAGTTCAGTTCTCTAGCTCCGAAGTGTCATAGACACAGGCTTCTTTTGTAAGATTTCTTCCTGCTCTCGGAGTTACTAATTTCATCATCTGCGTTATGGTTCATCTCTAAAAGGGAGGTTGTTGCTTTTCCTTAAGGTCTTTTGCAGTCCTTTGTCTCTTTCCACCTTTTTTATCCTAATACTCTATAATATTGCCTTAAACTCCAACTAGGACCTAAAACATGTAACTTTCAAAATTTTAAACTTTTTATTTTTTGCTGTTTTGCAGGGCATGCGGGATCTTAGTTCCCTGACCAAGGATCAAACACATGTCCTTTAATATTGGGAGCACAGAATCTTAACCATTGGACTGCCAGGGCAGTCCCCACATAACCTTTTTATTTTTTTCCCACATAACTTTTTTAAAAAGGGTTAATTTGATATCATAGACTGTTTTAACTTCTGGTCAAGCATTCATTCTCTGACTCTATTGCCTAGTAAACTTCAGTTAGCAGGAAGGAGCTCTAATGGCTCCTGTGTACAATCCATTCTCAGTATGTCCTCAACAGGCAACATGAAATGGAAGGATATTTATGGTTAAGAATTTGGACTTCTTTGGATACTTATTCTGATCCAAATACTCCTAAAAATAAATCAAAAGCATTAAGTGCTTAACAGAACTGCATCTTGTCAGATTCTTGGGGGGGGGGGGGGGAAAAAAAANTTTTTTTTTTTTTTTTTTAATTAGTAAAGAGAAGAAATCGGCTAAATTCTCAAATCCTATTTGATTTTACAAACTGACCTATAACATCATCCTTGGACTCTCCCTGTGTCCATTTCACTCACAACACACATTCTCATATATTCACCTATGTGAGGAAGGGATTTCCTGTTAATGCTATTCAGCCAAGACCAGAAGTAACCTTGTCAACCTTGTGATTACCCACTGAAGTTTAAGAGATAGACATTCCCTCTCCTCTATCCACTTAACACCTCTTCCTTCTTCACTCTGTTCCAGGAAAATGGTATTGATCACTTTTGCTCCAAGATGAGGTCAGAAGTTTCCATTATCCAATCATCCATCCATCCATTCATTCATTTATATATACATAAATATCAATGACAAGATTTTCTTTTTCCATAGCAATTGCTAGAAGTCTGGAGGAAAGATCACCTGAAGACCCAAACTCTGATACCTATGCGTGTGTGAAAAATATCATACTGACTTTAAAAATAACTCTTTAATCATATTCACATAAGAGGAATAAAGGGCAGCACCAGGCTGACTAGGGAAGGGAGCCAGGAGTTCTCCCTCTGTCCAAATGTCAGCCTGGCACCGTTCTGAGATCACGCACACAAGTGGGGCTGGGTTTGGAAGTAGAATAAGGGAGAGGACTGAAGAGACAAGGTAAGAGGGGAGAGAAAGGGCTTGCAGTAGTCTCAGTCGGTGGACTCCAACACAGATTCACTCAGCGCAAGGTCCCAGTAGTGCTCAGCCCCATGCTTTTTGAAATGCTCCCGAGCCATGTTCTCTGTAGGGCACTGTTTGAACTTCATCTCCCCAAAGCTCCGGTCTTTGGCTGTACCCTGGGAAAGAGACAAAATGTGTAATAGAAACACTGCAATTTCTAATTTAAATCAGATATAACAGTCCTTTATAAAACCTGGTAACACTGTGTAGCAATGTGTCTAGCTGAAAGTGATTTTATGGTAAAAACAATTCTAACTTCTACCCCCCTGGGTATCTGCTGAATTCTCCTGACTTTCTATGGGTTTGTTTTTTTTGACTGAAAGCAGGATTTCTGTGCTCTGGTGCCTGGATGGAAGAGTACGTCAGGAAGGACTATGGAAGATGAGACGGGATGAATTTGTTTCCAGCCAGGCCTCTAGGACCTTTAAGGAGAAAGGTGTTAGAGGCTAAAAGGACTCTTTTCACAAGACTTAGTGAGATCTTCATACGAGCAGGAGGCTTTGGGGCCCAATGACCAAGAACAATACAGGGGTGAGGGAGAGAGAGGAATGGGCGTGAGTGGGGCTACTTGCAGACAACTACAACAGAAAGATATAGTACTTGGTGGAATCGTGTTCTCACCAAAGTCTGCAATGTAAGTCACAAATGCAACCTCAAGAGGCTTTTCAGGGACCAGATTCCAAAAAGGAGGCAAGAGCAGAACTTGGCTTGTTTCTGAATCTGGGAGATAATTCCTGAGGACTCTCAGAGATAAATGAAGAGAATTTTAAAGAGATCATGGGGCTGGAATATTAAATATGCAAGTGGGGACTTATGAGACATACAAACAGTTATTATGGTTATTATCACCTAATTAGTATGCATAAATTGGGAGGAATCTGGGATAAGACAGAAGGACACATGAAAAACAATCAGTAGCAATTACCTACAGAGAGGTCTTAAGGAATCAGGGAGCTGGAAGGGACTATTTCAGTAAGGTTCTGTGTGGTTAGAATGTATTCTAATGAGCATTCTTTTGAATTAAAATATTACTTTTTTTGGCCACACTTCGGGGCATGCAGGATCTTAGTTCCCTAAGCAGGAATTGAACCCATGACCCCTGCAGAAGTCTGGAGTCTTAACCACTGGACCATCAGGGAATTCCCAAAGTACTACTTTTATAATAAATAACTGGTTCCTGAATATGAGCACATTTAAAACTAGAAGATACTCATGTATTCAACCTAAAAGAATAAAATGAAAAAATTAAGTCAACATAAAGGTAGAATATACTTACAATGTATAAAATGTATTTTGAAGTGGTAATATAAAGGATTACTGCAGTATATCAAGTTAAGAATACAGTTACTGAGGAAAGAAACCTTTAATGCTTCCTGGAGAAATAGGATAATATTTTACACTCCACAAAGGGTGAATGATCCCTTAGTTCACAACTTGGCCTGAACAAGCATATTCACTCATTTATTCATTCTTCAGAACTCATAGTGGTTCACTAAGAAAATTTTAGGGATGAAAGAATTGTACAACCATAAAAATGTTCCACTTAAACAGTGATTTAGTCACATTTTATGAAGCATCATTACATATAATTAGGGTTTCCACCAAAAAAAAAAAAAAAACAAGGGAAAATAATATCCACATTTTATAGACAAAAGCAACAGTATTTTATATTAAATGTTACTTAATTGCCCAGCTGCACTGCTAGTAAGTGATACTGCCAACTTAGTCAACTTTATATTCTTTTTTTTGGCCATGCCATGCATGATCTTAGTTATCCAGCCAGGGATCAAACCCATGCCTCCTGCATTGGGAGTACAGCATCTTAACACTGGACCACCAGGGAAGTCTGCAACTTTATACTCTTAAGTCTAGTACTTCTCTCACTATATCCAAAGAAAAATTCTACAATTCATTTCCCTCTTTCCAAGTGTCATGTCCATGACTGTGAAATAAATAGAGAATTTGTATTCCTGCCACCAGTTTTCCCCAGATGGCATAAACTATACACACATCAGTTTAACTAAAATATAACCAGGAAGGATTTGCTGCCAAATACTTAACAATGAATTTTAAAAAAAAGCACAAATTACTTAAGGGATTAGTTATTATTTATAAACAGTCAGGAATTAGCTAAAGTTTTGCCTCACTGTTTAACAGAGGATCACCTACCTCCCAGACTAGTACACATTTGTTGGTTTTCTTCACAGCTTCCTCATCAGATTCCTCATCATCTGGAAAAGACAATATAGCTAAATCTTGCTCTAGACTTAGACTAGACACCAAGATTTAGGTTCCAAACAAACAGTATTCAAGCCTAGCCAAATTTGTTTTAAATATTACCACTTTTTCTCATGTGTTGGGATCAAATATCTTCTGTTACTCTTTATTTCCCCCCAATTAGACTGAATCTCCTATCAGGCAGGGACATTAATTAATTCAACAAACATGGATTGAGTTCAACTCTGTGTGAGCTGTGCCAGGTACTGGGAATAAGGAGATGAACAATAAAAACTTGTCCTAAGCACTTCAGATGCCAAAACAATAAGGTCCATTCTCAAGGAGTTTTTAGTCTAATGAAGAAGGGCAGATATACGGAATGAAAATATCTTAGAACACTTGCAAAGCAAAATACAGGTCAATTATCGTAAAAAGTGTACTTTAAGTACAAAAATACAATAAGGAAGAACATAAAGTAAAAGAAGGCCAAAGTTATGAAAAATAAGGTTCTCTGCACATGGTAAATACTAACCCAGGTCTTCAAAGAAGGGAAGAATAAATATTGATAGAAGAATGATGGCCAGGAGGATGTCAAATAAATAAATACAAAATAAACTTGGGCAAAAGAAAAGTATATTTTTCTGAATGAAGCAGAGATTTTTTTTTGGTCTAAAAATCTTTTTTTGCCTTCAGTCCTTTAAAAAGCTTCTTATCAAAAAACCATACACTATAGACAATGCACATATGAGCGTGCAGCTTGCTGAAAATTCACAAACTAAATATACTCATGTAGCCTATATAACATTTCTGGGCTAACAGAGAAACCAACAAGTAGAAAGGCCTAAAGGACAGGCAGGAGAATAACTAATATTCATACAGTAAATACCTTATGAATGTCTAGCATATTTAAAGTCCAAAAGGGTTTTTCTAAAATTCTTGAACATTATCTAGTATTTGCAAGAGTGTTAGAGAGAGGGAATAGATGAATGGACTGAGTACCATCCCACCCACCTCCCATTTAATCCCCTCTAACCCCCATTCACCATCTCCCTTTGTGTTAGATGTCTGTTCATCCCACTTTATCCGATGCAGCATGAGACGCTTAAATTTCTTCTGGGCCTTGGGGCCTAGAAACAAAGAAGAAGAATTTTGCCAGAGTTGTGGAAGACAATGGGGTAGAAGGAACCTCTGAGCTCACTCAACGCTCAGACATTAATATGGTAGTTGAAGCAATCCCAGGAGCCACATCTTAGGTTCTTCTACTTCAATAAATAAAGAAACAGAGGCCCAAGATATTTAACACAGGTTTGACTCTAAAATACCATCTTTTTTCTCATTTCTCCCCACCATGCTAATCACTTCAAGGCCTAGGGTTGCCTCAAGTTTTCAGACTCACCCCCTTCCACTACTACCACGTTGACATCCTTGTGCAGTACCACCACCCCTGTCAGGTACAGCTGCCCAGCATTGGCCTCAATCTTGAACTTCTTGGCTGGGTTGCTCAAATTTCGAACTCTGGAGAAGGGAAAGTTTAGTTATGGGTTTCATTTTAGCATCAGTAGCTGACTGAATGGAATGGCAAATAAAGATGGATCCAAAATAGTTTTCTTTCTAAAAACAAAGGCATTTGGAGTAGGCAAATATACTAAAGCTTAAAAGGCAGAATTGATGAATCTAGAAGTGTTTCTACTGTCTTAAACGTCTTCAAAGTCTAGCACAGTACACTTTACAACACGTAGCAGGTAATCAGAATTTACTTTAAGAACGAAGAAGAGCTACTAATAACCATCATCCAAAAAAATTTATATGCTTGGTTATTCTTGACAATATAAAGATCAACAAATTCTTTGCCCTCTAGATGCTTATAATATAAAGTAGTCACAATGCTATGCACGAAAATTTCAATAAGAATACATGAAAAACTGTTAGTGACAATTACCCATAGTGAGTGGTCCTGAGGATCAGAGACTAGGAAGGGGACTTTTTCAGTAAGTGTCCTTCTGTATTGCTAGAATGTTTTTATCTTAGTAAGCAGTCACTACTTTTATAATAATGTACCATTTCTATAATCAAGAACTAGTTACTAAACATGAGCACATCTAAATAAGAGACATATATATACTTGACATAAAAGAGTAAAATGAAAACATTAAATCAACACAAACAGTAGAAAATAATTACAACACATAAAGTCCATTTTGGAGTGGAAATAAAAGGATTACTGCAATACATAAGGATAAGAATACAGTTAACTGAGGAAAAAAACTTTTAGTGTTTCCTAGAAAAACAGTATTTTATGCTTCATAAAGAATGAATGAGCCTTAGTTCACATCTTGACCTGAACAAGCATATTCACATTCATTCTTCAGAACTAATATTAGTTCACTAAGACCTCAGAGATAGAAGAGTAAGTTTTTAACCCTCATCGCTGTAAAAGATCTACTAGCTCTTGATGTATACCAGGATCATTAAAGAGAGTGGAGTTGATGTTAGGTATGCTTTATACCAGTGATTCTGCCTTGAGCACTTGGAAAATGTTTTTGTATTTCTAAGGGAAAGGCTGGCCCAGTCTGGACACCTACCTATATACAGATATGTGTACCCCCTGTGAAATGTCTTCTTTAAGCTTTTTAATTTTCTTGACCTTTCTCTGTTCTGCTGTAAGTTTTCGGGCAGCATTGGCCTCTTCATGCGCTCTGTCGTGACAGGAAGGACATCCACAAGTGAGAAAGGCATTGAAGATCAGAAGCAGGGCTGAGGGAAAGAGAGAGCAACGGAGAACTCTCCCCTCCCTCCAAATATGGATCCCCCAGAAGAGTTCGGGAAAGGTACCTGCCCTGGGTTTCCACCCAATCCCATGGCACTTACTTCTGTCTTTTTGCCATCTGAGCTCTGACATGGGCTTCTACCTTCGTGGGGTCTTGAACAGCTTCTGTTCCTAATACTCGCATCAAATTTGAAATTCTCACTGCAGTGAAGAGATGACAGAGATCAATCTCCTAAGTCACCACTCCAGCTAGGGTAATCTGCAATCTCTTCCTACCAATTCATACTGTTCACCTATTGCAAATCTGCTCAAAACTCACTTCCTCCAAATACTTCTACCTTGAAAGCCCATTCAATTAATTCAGCATTTGCAGGAGGTCAATTAATATCAATAATTGGTATACATTTACTCACACTGCTTGAAAATTTGTGAAAGAAAATGAACTTAATTTTGTTAGCATTTTTCACTTTCACTGTAGCATTTAGTGAAAGATCCTATACATAACAGTGCTCACCCAAAATACTACTAACTGATACTGGAAACTATAGGAGTGAAGTTTATTATTAAACTGCATTTTCATTTTTTAAACATTTAAGAATTATGTACACAACAACTCTGTGCAAATACTCCAACTACTATCTCCATAAACTTCAAGACTATTATTCTTCCAGGAAGGTAAGAATGTTAAATGGTCAATATTACTTAAGAAAAAGGCATAAATGACTTCTACAATGACTATGTTGACCTGATTTAATAAAGACAGTAGAAAATTTGGGAAAGGACAAACCAATGAATGATTCTGAGAAACAAAAAGCATTCAAACATAGAGAGATACTAAAGTTCCTCTAGAATGACAGGAAGAAAAACTTGCCACCCTTTCTTCCCTGCCTCTAAGATCTGTACCTTTGGGTTCTGGAGGAGGCATCAGGCCCAGCCTGACCTTCTCTTGTAGCTCCTTCTGCGCTTCCCTCCTCGTCTGCCGTCGAAGTTTCTTCTGTTCCTTCTTGGTCAGATATACTCCCAGAGTAACTGGTGTGTCATTGTCAACTGTCAGACAGAAAAATCAATGTACCAAAGCAATAAGCATATTACAGGGATATGGGTGAATATCAATCACAGTAAAAAGAACTTTACAGCAACACAGATGGACCTAAAGATTGTCATACTGAGTGAAGTTAAGTCGGACAGATAAAGACAAATATATAATGCTTATATGTGGAACCTAAAAAAAGGGTTCCAATTGACTTTTTTTTTTATTAAACCAACCGTTTCCGGCGTTTGAAACTTTAGGGCCCCCGGGGGTTAAGGGGGGGGGGATAAATTAGAGGACTGGGATTGACATATATCCATTACTATATATAAAATAATTAAGGATCTACTACATAGCACAGGGAACTCTACTTAAGGCTCTATAATGGCCTATATGAGAAAAGAATCTAAAAAACAGTGGGTTTATGTATAAATGATATACTGTGCTGTACACCTGAAACTAATACAACATTGTAGATCAACTACGTCCCAATAAAAAAAATTTATTTAAAAAAGGACATTAAAAAAAAAAAAGGACATTTAGCTTGTTTTTAGGTATTTTTAGGTCATGATAGTAGTATTACGGTTATGTTTTTATTAAGTATTCTTAGAACTACCCTGGTAGTACAGTGGCTAGGACTCTGTGCTCCCAGTTCAGGGGGCCTGGGTTCAATCCCTGGTCAGGAAGCTAGACCTCACATGGTTCAACTAATAGTCTGCATGCCACAACTAAGACTTGGTGCAGCCAAACAAATAAATAAATACTTAAAAAAAAAAGGAGTAAAAAGTATTCTTTTCTTTCATGAGTCATTTCTAACTTGTTTTTCTTTAAGCAACTGAACCCTTTAATAAACTAAAATGTGGCAGATATGGAAAAAAAGATTAGAGCTGCTCTGACTGCTCTGTGTGAGGATTTGGGGTAGGCAGAGGGTATCCAGAATCCCACTTGGATCCTACCTACTAAACCTCAAGGTGTCTATGGAATCCAACTTGAAAACTACTGGCCAAGATGATGAAATTTCTAATTTAAGAGTTACAGGGATTGGGAAAAATCCTCTGGGCTCCCAAGTCAGATTTACTCAATTTATTAAAACAAATAAAACTCCCTACATTCTTCTAATGATTCACACTGAAGACAACTAAACAGATTCTGATTAAATACAATTTAGTGTTTATTACCTTTTTATTTATCTCAAAGTCTCAATCTATTTTTCTGAATTTATTAGAGATCCTGATAAACAAACTTACTGAGTAAAAACTAACCTCTGTTCATCTCAAGTCTGATGAAAGTATTAGCATCTTCTGTGGTCACTTGAAAAAGGAATGTCGGTTAGTGTTATCTCTACATATGAGAAAATTCTGTATTGTAGTGATTTATCCAGGGATTTCAGGTACAACTAAAACCCATCTCCTCTGACTAAGCCAACAGACTTTCACTACAAAACACATAAACAGAAAGGCTGAAGACAAGGCAGACTGAAGATGGCAGGGGTTTAGTGGTCGTGTGCTAGACTAGAGTTGCGAGTCAACACTACTGCAAAAGCCCAATTTGAAATACAGATATACATCAGTGAGGCCATCTCTGGTTTAGACCTCAATGCTCTGTGACAGCTGCACTGTACAATACTGTAGCCACTAGCCACATGTACTATTTAAATTAAAATTGAAAAAAATTAAAAAATCAGTCCCTCAGCTATATTAGTGTAACTCAGTTTTCAAGTTCTCAGTAGTCATGTGTGAATAGCAGCTATAGCACAGACAGCCCAGACAGAGATTACATCCATTATCACATAAATTCCTATAGGCTAATACTTCTCTAGGGCTTTGACTGAGTAATCTCTACATTACCTGGAGGGTTGAGCTGGGCTGGATGTTCAACAAGATTTGTGATTCCAAAATAATCTTCTCTCTTGGGATTTTCCTCTGTACTAAAATTGGAGGAAGAAGGGAAAACAGGATATGTGGGTAGAGACGATTCCAAGAGAGAGGCAATCTCAGAAACACAATGAAAAAATCCACTCTCCATAGTGGATTCTCAACCTGTTTTTTCTACCCTAACACACTTAACAGATACCACATTCTGTCATTAGTAACAATAATTCTCTGGGACAGTGGTTGACAAAGGAGGCATAAGGAAAGGCTGAGACACAGTCTCCTTAAGTCATGTATCAGAATAATGGAGCAGATATGATTAAAGCTCTCTGAATGTTTCTTACATGTTTTATTTATCATTCTCTCCCTCACCAAGAATCCTTTCTCTCTTCTAGGACTGGATCTTTAATATATGTAAACATCTGTTATAAGTAGCAAAAGAAGGTAATTAAGAAAATGAATATGCTAAAAACACTAACAATGTATAACAAAGCAAGCAGAAAATATTTGTGTCCAACCTCCTACATTGATTGACCCAAAAAACTAAAAAACAACCCACAGAACATATTCTTTATAAGCATATGAGCTTGTATATGGTTATGTTTGCCTTAGATTTAAAATTTTTATGTAATGCATGAATACCATCTTTCCCATGAAAACTCTAGTCTTCATAAAAGGTATTAACCAACAAACTCACAGGTCAAAGCCATTGGGGATGATGTAAGAGTCCCACCACTCAATTTCAGGGATGTCGCCTTCCTTCAATTCCTTCTTAGGAGCAATGAGGGCCAGTCTAGTTGAAGTATGAATGCCTGTTTTTCGAGCAGCCTGTGAGATCTCTGCCTGAAGCTTCTCTAGTTGAGCCTAAAGACAAGGTAAGACAAGAAGATAAATTGGAATCAAAGAAAACAGGGAAGCAGTAGAATCCCAAAACTTGAAACACTCCCTTGTTGAACTCTTTACATCTAACACAGCAAATTCAGATTTTCTGAAAGCTAAGAAAAAAGAGCTGTTCTGCTTTACTTTACTTATTACTTGGTTGATTTCCATATATTTGGCCCTCATTATCACCCCTCTATCCCAGTGTGTGCCTGCAGCAAATATGTAGAAATGGAATTTTATGGAAAACTTCTGAGAGGATGAAAACAAGAAGGTAAAAGTCTTTGAATATATGGTCAATTAAATTATCCAGGAATGTGGATTGTCTGCAGCAAATTTTAACAGCAGGCTAGCTTTCCTCAGATGTCCTGAGGTTTCTGAACAGTTTCCCTCCACTGATTGTTGTATGTAGAGAATTTTCAAATTCAATTTCCTTTCTACCTAAGTAGAGTGTAAGTAACTAAAAAAAAAAAAAAAAGAAGAATATAAGTATCTGAGAAAACAAATCACTAAAAATCAAGTATTCCAGGAATAAACACAGTATTTTAAAAATTACTCATTGCTTTACTACTTATTTATCTAATTGCCAAAAACAGAGAGAATTAGGTTGCCAGTATTTCAGGACTATATTCAGTTTCCTTTGTCACCTTCCTAACTTATTCAAATTTCTAGATTTTATTCTAAGCCAGATACCTTTGTCCGTAATCGCTGGGCAATCTTTTCAAATTTGCCCTTGTCGTGGAATTTAAAAGTGCGTCTCTGGCGCTGGGAAGGGGCAATTGAGACTCGTGGATCAAAAAAGGTATTAGATTCCATGTCTTCTGATGGCTTTTCTTTTAGCTGTTGCTTGAACTGTTCTCTCTTCACAGCCCGAATATTGGCCTTCAGAGTCGGCATTCTGTGTGTCAGCTCAATCTCTTTGCCTGTTGCATCTACAGTTCGACCTTGTTCATCAAGAATCAGTGGTGTAGGTTTAGTTTGATCTTTTAACTCCACCTTCCTGAAAAATAGCCCAAAAGAGGAATAAATCCCATATAAAACAATAAGGCAGTCAAACAAACAGACAAAAAATACAAACAAATCAAAACCCACCAGAGACAATTAGGTTACAAAGTTCTAAGGAATATAAACCCATCAATGAATAATAACATCTTGACTGAATATATAAAGCTGGACAGTTGAGTATGGAGTATAATCAGATGAAATGAACTTACAAATTACAATGGCAAAAAGTTGGAATCCTATCATTCTTTACTCCTGAATTCTTGAGTCAGGGAATAGCAAACCAATTGAGGTGCTAAAAATAAAGCCTATCACCTTTACCCAGTTGCAGAGAACTCTCAGATCTGGTCTCACTCAATGTGGTTTAATGGAAATAGCTCTTGAATTAGGAACCAGGAGACCTGATCCTATTCCTAGCTCCAATACTGGAGGAATAATCTTAATTTTAGTTCTACCAATCATAAAAAGAAGATAATTAAACTCTGTAACAAGGAAACCAAGAGAATAAATTCAACTAGTATTTACTGAACATATGTAAGAAACATGAAACTAAGAAATGACTTAAGTTCCTTGGAAGAAGAGGATCAGTAACACTCAAAGGTATTTACTGCTTCTCAAGCTTCAGAAAAAATGAGTTCCATGAAATAGATACTCACGGGGGAGCAATGCCCATAGCATGGAGATTGGCTAGGCCCACCATGTTGGCATTGCCGATGAGCCCTGGCTTCAAGGCCAGCTGGGCTTGGATGCGGGCTTGTAGTTCAGCTGCTTTCCTTGCCTTCTCTATGGCATCATTCATGAAAGTGGCGGCCTGGGAGGGCTGAATAGTGTTGCCAATTGGAAGTCGCTCTGGTTGGGAGGATGAAGGAGTCTTTGGCTGTGAGATAGAGAAAAAGAAATCAGCATCAGAAAAAATTAACATAGGCAAACAGATCTCTGTCTTTTACACATACATACACACACACACACACACACACACACAGTGGTGGTAAATTGAGGGTGGAACATGCAGTCATTTTCTGGACTCTCATTTGAGTGAGTGGCAAGAAATTCTGTGTGTTTAACAGTCTTCTTTTCAGAGAAACTTGATTACAATACCTGAGGTGTAGGGGGGCTAATGAAGCTCAGTTGCTTTTTCCTTTCCTCAATTTGCCGTGTTGCTGCCTCCATCATCTGTTTGATCTGCTCGCAGTGGGGTAAAAAGTTGGAAAACAGTTAACACCTCTTTTTTATTTCTCCCATACAGGTTCCTAAACTCAAAGGGCCTTTAGGTCTAGAGAAACTAGTATTTTTTGAATGATCCTCAGTATTTCAGGACTATATTCAGTTTCCTTTGTCACCTTCCTAACTTATTCAAATTTCTAGATTTTATTCTAAGCCAGATACCTTTGTCCGTAATCGCTGGGCAATCTTTTCAAATTTGCCCTTGTCGTGGAATTTAAAAGTGCGTCTCTGGCGCTGGGAAGGGGCAATTGAGACTCGTGGATCAAAAAAGGTATTAGATTCCATGTCTTCTGATGGCTTTTCTTTTAGCTGTTGCTTGAACTGTTCTCTCTTCACAGCCCGAATATTGGCCTTCAGAGTCGGCATTCTGTGTGTCAGCTCAATCTCTTTGCCTGTTGCATCTACAGTTCGACCTTGTTCATCAAGAATCAGTGGTGTAGGTTTAGTTTGATCTTTTAACTCCACCTTCCTGAAAAATAGCCCAAAAGAGGAATAAATCCCATATAAAACAATAAGGCAGTCAAACAAACAGACAAAAAATACAAACAAATCAAAACCCACCAGAGACAATTAGGTTACAAAGTTCTAAGGAATATAAACCCATCAATGAATAATAACATCTTGACTGAATATATAAAGCTGGACAGTTGAGTATGGAGTATAATCAGATGAAATGAACTTACAAATTACAATGGCAAGAAGTTGGAATCCTATCATTCTTTACTCCTGAATTCTTGAGTCAGGGAATAGCAAACCAATTGAGGTGCTAAAAATAAAGCCTATCACCTTTACCCAGTTGCAGAGAACTCTCAGATCTGGTCTCACTCAATGTGGTTTAATGGAAATAGCTCTTGAATTAGGAACCAGGAGACCTGATCCTATTCCTAGCTCCAATACTGGAGGAATAATCTTAATTTTAGTTCTACCAATCATAAAAAGAAGATAATTAAACTCTGTAACAAGGAAACCAAGAGAATAAATTCAACTAGTATTTACTGAACATATGTAAGAAACATGAAACTAAGAAATGACTTAAGTTCCTTGGAAGAAGAGGATCAGTAACACTCAAAGGTATTTACTGCTTCTCAAGCTTCAGAAAAAATGAGTTCCATGAAATAGATACTCACGGGGGAGCAATGCCCATAGCATGGAGATTGGCTAGGCCCACCATGTTGGCATTGCCGATGAGCCCTGGCTTCAAGGCCAGCTGGGCTTGGATGCGGGCTTGTAGTTCAGCTGCTTTCCTTGCCTTCTCTATGGCATCATTCATGAAAGTGGCGGCCTGGGAGGGCTGAATAGTGTTGCCAATTGGAAGTCGCTCTGGTTGGGAGGATGAAGGAGTCTTTGGCTGTGAGATAGAGAAAAAGAAATCAGCATCAGAAAAAATTAACATAGGCAAACAGATCTCTGTCTTTTACACATACATACACACACACACACACACACACACACAGTGGTGGTAAATTGAGGGTGGAACATGCAGTCATTTTCTGGACTCTCATTTGAGTGAGTGGCAAGAAATTCTGTGTGTTTAACAGTCTTCTTTTCAGAGAAACTTGATTACAATACCTGAGGTGTAGGGGGGCTAATGAAGCTCAGTTGCTTTTTCCTTTCCTCAATTTGCCGTGTTGCTGCCTCCATCATCTGTTTGATCTGCTCGCAGTGGGGTAAAAAGTTGGAAAACAGTTAACACCTCTTTTTTATTTCTCCCATACAGGTTCCTAAACTCAAAGGGCCTTTAGGTCTAGAGAAACTAGTATTTTTTGAATGATCCTATCATATTCTGCCTGTACCACAGGCTAGCAAATTTAGTAAAGATAAGGTTACACAGTTGATCACTGGAATTTTTCAACCTATCTTCCCAAGGCAGGACTGGCATGTTAAGTAGTAACACAGCTTGATGAGTAAGACTCTGGAGTCCGGGAAACCAGAGTTTCACTCTTAACTCTGCCATTTAATGCCTGTGTGACCTTGAATATGGTATTTAATTCTTAAATCTCCAAGTGTCTAAAAGGAGTAAAAACAGTACCTACCTTACAGGGAAACCGAACATTTAAATAATGCATGCAAAACTAATAGAATACATAAACATTATTATTATACTTAAAAAAGAAAAAAAAAAAACAAAACACTATTGGTCCCTGAGTTCCTAGTTTGGGTAACCAGAGTCCACTTGCTTCCTAGTGGAGACTTGGGACCCAGGAGACTTGCTGCCTAGTCTCCATAAATCCCTTCCTCTGTCCTAAGGAAAATTCAGAAAAATAAGCTTTGAGAACATGATCAAGTAACTCTTCTTGAATTTTCCAAAAGAGTCTGCTGTCAAGGTACTTCAAAATTATTTTTTTTAATTTATTTTTAACAATTTCTTAAATAGTGACATATTTATATAGATTAAATTGCAAAAAGTATACTCTGAAAATATTTACTATTTATATGGTATCAGAATTTTTAAACAATGCCTATTTTAAATACACAGATAATTTCTATTAAAAAAAAAAATAGAAGTCAATCCGAAATTATTTAAGTGGATTAAGCTTTCTGCATTATATTATATGGAAATTATTCTCTGTCATCATGCTGAGTTCTAATTATTTCAATAATTTTCTTAATGACACAGTGAGGTAGATATCTGTGCAAATGATGTATGTAACACACCTTCCCTGCCACACAATAGGTGCTCAAAATGCTATTTCAATAGCTTTCAACTGGGCTGTTGTTGTCATTCAGTCACTAAGTCACGTCCGACTCTGCAATCCCATGGACTATAGCCCGCCAGGCTTCTCTGTCCATGAGATTATTCTGGCACGAATACTGGAGTGGGTTGCCATTTCCTTCTCCATTCAACTGGAATCTCTTCTGATTATACCAAGAAATGGTGAAACATAAAGCAGAAAATAAAATTTCCCCAATGCTAACATTTAGTTTAAATTAAGGATACAATAAATCCATCTCTTTCTTCTTCAACTCTCAAAACCACTGCTTCCAGTTCTTAACTACTAACCTGGAGCTTAGTCAGCATGCCAGGACTCTCTGAGGGAGGCCCAGGGATCACTTCTGGCTCCTCTTCTACCTCCTCAAAACGGGGTATCCGTCGCTTCTTTACTCCTGATGATTCCTTGGAGATCTCAGAGTCATCACCAAACACTTCCTAAGGGAACCCAAGGTGAAAGAAGAGTTGTATCCTTGCCCATGGGAGAAGGGAAGAACAATCCTAATCCTTATTAGTATTATCTGGCTTTTCCCAGAGTCTTCTATACCCTCCACCAAATGGACCATCTCACCCATCTCAACTTCATTATTTTCCTACTCCAGTCAAACAAATTTCATCCCCATATTCTTATAAACGTTCCCATCCCAAGGTCTTTGCAAATCTTACTGCCCACATATGTAATTATCTTCCTCAATTTTTCCCTCAATCCAAACCTTGCCTAAAACTCACCTCCTCCACGAAGTTTTCCTCATTAACAATCTCATCCCACTCTGATCAAACTGTTGTTTTACATCCTTTTAGCACTTAAGAACTTGGTTCATACTAGGTAAAATTACATTGTTGATATTTGCTTGCCAAGTGTTAAGTTTTTCAATGTCACTATGTACTTTCTCCCAACTAGCATCTAAGCTCTTCCAGGATAGGGGTTTTCTCTCTTCTTCAATATTCCCCAATAACACTCTGTTCTCATCTAACAGTGGGAACTCAAATATGTTGACTAAATTGCAGGATGAACTTAACAGGACCAAGAGTGGCCAAGTGGAAGGGACAATGGGAAAAAGCAAATGTACACACCGGTGGTAGGCTTTGGGTGACATCCCCTCTTCACTAGGAGGGCTCGTGTTTTGCAAGGACATATCCTCGGCCAGGGGCGAGCGCTTCCTGGAACTCCTACAGTTCAAGAAAAAGGACTCTCCCATAATATATTGTGTGGGATGGGGACTGAATGGACCAAAATGGGACCCAACTCCCAAGGCTATCTAGATTTCCTTCAAGAAACCATTTTTATTAATCCCACCCAATGTAGTCACTTTATTTGTAGCAGGCCCTCAGCACTTATACAGTAGCATGTCCTACCAAAAACATAATCTTCACTCTATAGATCTGTGAATTTCTCCTTAAGTGTAACAAAATTCAACTAAGTCTGAAACTTTATAGTCAACCTTACAATTTCCATGAAAACTACTACTTGGATTTTATAATTTTTGTGACTGTATTTTGTTTTGCCCTCCCATCCCCAAACCCTTGAACTGCAAATTCCTTTAAGGCAAGGACTATCTTTCATTCCTCTGATCACCCTGCAAACCCTAAACACAAACAGCACACAAATTTCTATTTCTCTTGGTTCCACAGCCTAGTCAGGGACCAAACAGACATTGCTTATTCACTCTTGCGCCTCAGGAAAAGCAAAAGGATAGCCAAGGAATCAAAAGCACTTTAGAAGGTTTGATGGAAGTCACAGAAAAGATTTTAATAGACAGACAGAGAAAAGAGATAGAACAGCTACTTGACACCGTTAATACTGAAAGAGACCATGACCAATCAGCAGCTACCGGATAAAAAGTGAAGAAAGTAAGGGAATAATGATGGTCCCTTTAAGTATTCCACTTATGGGGACAGGTGACTGGCAATATGCTGTACAGCAAAGAGTAGGCCCTCAAGACATACGGTAAAAAGTGAGTTCTTAGGTATCCCATCTACAAGTCATTGCAGAGAAATATCTGAAAAGCAGGAACAATGAGGTCTATAGCTCAAGGAGCAGTGAGGTCACATTCTGAAGCAATCTATTAGGCCTCAAGTAAATCAAAGCATAAAATCTTAAAGTAATCAATTTATATATTTTTTTAAAATGGAGATTTAGGGAAACATAAGAACCAAAACTCCTAACTGTATATGAAAAAGAACAAAGCAACCAACTGTTTTCTTGGAACATTTTAACCCATGAACTTAGGCAGTTCATCACCATAAGATGGCGATAATACAAGTTCACCCCCTCTACTTCTATGTCTAAGTACCTCTCTTAAACATCAGGTATTCTAATAGTGGATATTAAAGTGTGATCCAGGTAAGCTCAGCAACTTTGTTACCATTCAAAACACTCATCAGATAGTTAACTGTAACCTACCTTTAGCTCTCGTTTCCTGCTCCGGTCACTGCTGGACTTGGAATGCCTAGAGCTTCGGCCTTCCTCCACAGCTTCAAACAGTTTGTCCACAAATCGGAGAGTAGAATCATCAAGAAAAGGTTTCAGATGGTCTGACAGGAAAAAAAAGAGGTGGCAAGGTTGAAAAGGTAAGAGTATTTCGTCCAGATACCAACAATGGAATTTTATGCCTAGGAGGGAGGGAAATGCTTTCTTAAGTTTTTTTGTAGGATTCTCATAAATAATCTTACATGAATGATTTTGCCCCATGAGATAAAAAAATACAGTTTTAATTTTTTGGAGTAGGAAGTAGCAGAGCCAGAGCAACCTGTTTAGGTTGAGCATCAAAGTTTAGGATGAATAACCACCATAACTTTTCCTAAACTGCAAGCTGGAGGAGACTACCATTAACAAAATCTACTTCCTTCAATTTTTTTAATGTATTTTATAGAGACTTCTATATGTTTAGATGTTGACCTGAATATACCCATCTGACTTTAGCATATTTCCTAAGTAAATATAATTTAGGTAACTCAGTATAGCGGTCAAAGAAATCAGTCTGAGTTTCAAAACATGTCACAAATAGCATTAAAAAAAAAAATTAATTATTTAGGCTATTTCCATTATAATGGAGAGTGAAAAAGCCACCTTAAAACTAAATATTAAAAAAAAACTAAGAGAATGGCATCCAGCCGCATCATTTCACAGCAAATAGAAGGGGAAAAGGTAGAATGCAGTGACTGATTTCTTTTTCCTGGGCTCTAAAATTACTGCAGATGGTGACTGCAGCCATGAAATTAAAAGACATTTGCTTTTTGGCAGGAAAGCTACGGCAAATCTAGACAGTGTGTTAAAAAGCAACGACATCACTTTGCTGACAAAGGTCCATAGAGTCAAGGCTATGGTCTTTTCAGGAGTCATGTACAGTTGTTGAGAGCTGGACCATAAAGGCAGAAAGCTGAAGAATTGGTGCTGGAGAAGATTCTTGAGAGTCCCTTGGCCAGCAAGGAGATCAAACTAGTCAATCTTAAAGGAAATCAATCCTCAGTATTTCATTTAGGATCCATGCTAAAGCCGAAGCTCCAATACCCTGGCCACCTGATGCGAACAGTCGACTCACTGGAAAAGACCCTGATGCTGGGAAAGATTGAAGGCAGAAGGAGAAGAAGCCAGCAGAGGATGAGATGGTTGGATGGCATCAGCAATGCAATGGACATGAACTTGGGTAAACTCCAGGAGATGGTGAGGGACAGGGAAGCCTGGCGTGCTATAGTCCATGGGGTTACAAAGAGTCGGACACAACTTGGTGACTGAACAACAACAATTATAATGCAAGAGAAAATAAAATGTGGCCTGACCTTTTTTCAGATGCTTCTAACACAGAGAATTTGAGGGAAGTTCAAAGTGGCATTTGTGGTCATCCAACATGTTAAGCCAAAAGATTCAGAAAGATTCATACATACCAGCTGCTTTCTTCTTGTCCATGCCCTTCCCCACACAGTTCAGTGCTGCTGTGACCACTGTGGGCTCTGAGAAACCCAGCACCCTCTTCACTGTCTTCTCTATCCATGGTTTCAGTTCATCTAGCTCCCTCTTAGATAGCGCCATTCTTCGGGAAAAGGAGGATAGCTCAAAACAGGATTCAATACTGCACCTAAAAAGAAATCAGTAAAGTTAGAGGACAGGAAAAGACTAAAATGACCCCAGGCAATGATTAGTATATCAGGAATGCTTTCCCCACTGCTATTCTCAATCCTGGGCAAGTTCTTCTAACTTCATTTCAAGCCAAATACTTTCCACGTATACTTCACAACAGAAAGAACTACATTCTGTTTGATTTTTACCCCTAACTCAGTAATATCATCAGCTAATCAATGAAATCTGTAGAATAAACAAACCAACCCTTGGGAAGAACCTAGTCTGAGAAATGAGTTCTAGCTTCTTTTCTGATTATCATATTCAACAAGGACTGTCAAACATGTAACATGAAAACAAGACTGAAAAAGCCCACTCACAGGCCAACTTTTCTATTCTTCCTACTTCCAGGCAGGCATTCCTTAACCCAGGGCTTCTTTTAAGGAACATAAATAAGAGATGGCTTATCCGGGTTACATCTTATATTAAAGCTCCTATTCCTCAAGACTGTTCTGTCATATTTCTCTGTATTCATTGTCATCCCAGTGGGAATTCTGTACCCAGATCCTTTTCTCTTTTGTTCTACAGGGTCTCTGTCATAAGTAATCCCTCAGTTCAGAAAAGGTTACCCTTTTCATATGTATATGAAAGGCTGATTCATTCTGCTGTACAGTAGAAACTAACACAGCATTACAAAGCAACTATACTCCAATAAAAATTAGTAAAAAAAAGATTACCCTCATTTTGGATGTACTTTTTTCACCTTTACCTTTATTATTCTACTTTTTAGCTTAATAGAGAAACCATCATACAAGACTCTACAACAATCTGTTATTTAATGCAAATCAGTACAATTCTTAAACTATTCATGCTTACAGTCTTATCTCCTACTGAAATCTCAAAACTCTACATGAGCAGAAAGAAAATTTTATTTCCATAATTTCCTCCATACTGTCTAAAAGACAATAAATTAGACTGACCTCAATTCCAAGTTAACCTCCTCCCAGAAGTGCCACACATCAGGGTTCGATCTGGGTGTCAATTTTTCAAGATGTTTTAAGACATCTTTTCCCTAAAAGGTACAGCTTGATTAACTTCTACATTGTTGGCAAGTTTATCCTCTAGAAGACCTATTGCTAAATAATGTATATAATTTTGGTATAACCATATGAAACTAGTAGCTTAAAGTCATGAAACTAGAGGTGAAGTATTTTGTGCCTCAGTGACATGTAATATGAATAAATCTGCAGTGGCTTTATTTACCCATCACGAGATAGCAGTATAGCCTATCAATCTCAACATGTTAACAAGAAGCATATTCAGACACCATAGAGTGAAGAGCTCACACACACCTCTACCATTTACCAGCCTTCTGACAAGTAATTCCTCTGAGCCTCAGTTCACTCATCCTACAAAGTGAGGACAACTGTCATTCTTATAAGGCACTTAATTCATTCAATAAATATTTACTGCATACCTAGTAAGTTTCAGGCAGCCTACTGAGTGCTGAGAATACACACAATGGTGAACAAGACAGACAAGAATTCTTGCCTTAACAGAATTTATATTCCACTGGAACTGAATCATAGGCTAGAAAGAGTAAACAATTTGAAAATCCAGAGCTACAAATGGGGCATCACTCTATTAGATGAAATGTGTGCCCAAGCACGATACTAACAAATGTACACAACTTCAACCCATTCCTCCATAAGATAACGTGCAAACTAAACGGCCAATGGGCAAAGTAAAAGTTCGAAACAGTAACGAGCTTTGTCACTAATCAATTGTTCAACAGTAGCTGCGTGGGGTAGGGGTGGGGTGTGGTTCTGGTGTGGAAGGAGAGGAAGGCAGAATGATCTCTGAATGAGCAGGGAACAGAATTTAATCTTCTGAAGGATTCTCTTTCTCTGTGTTCTTCTTTGCTACAAGTCGAATTTCATCCTTGAAACTCCCATTCGTTTCTTTTTTGCTCATCCCGTCTCTCTGACCAGCCCCCACTCACCTGTTCTACCCCAACTCCTCATCTCAGTGCGAGTCCCCTCAGCTCGTCCCTTTCCCGCCCCCGCCCTTCCCCTCTCAACAACCTCATTCCAACCCGTTCTCCCACAGAACCTTGTTCTTTTCTCAGCTTCCTTTCCGCTGAACCTTCCCGCCTCTGTCCTTCTCTGAAACTGAACCCTACCCCAAACACTAGGACAACAGGATACCCCCTCCGGGCCCCGGGCCACTACTCACCTCACAAACTTCAGCCCCTGAGACGGAGCCCGAACGTTACACCGGAACCGGAAACCCTCTGGCCGCCCTATGGCCTGCCGTCGCTACCGCCACGGCCGCCGCCACGCCGCGGTCCCACAACGCGTGACGAGGGAGGGTGGGGCCGCCGGTTCGCGCAGCCGTAGTGGCTACTTTCCGTCCAGAGAGGGAGCGCATGCGTAGCGGAGCCCTAAAGTTTTACGTTGGCTAGTTCCTCCCCTCATCAGTTTCCCCAGGTAAAGGTGTGCAACGTTAGTGTTACCTGAAGCATAAATTGGGCTGCCTGTAGTATTCCTAGTGTGGCGAATAAGTGTACTACGGTTATGCTAGAACTAAAAGCAGGGCTTCTGCGTTTGGGCTAAACCTGGACTTTCTAGTACAAAGTAAAGCCTCCAAGAGTCGTGATCCCTAGCTTTAAGGATCCCTAGCATCCCCTCCTTAGCTTTTGTCCCTAACTTAACAGTGATGCCAGAGATCATGGTAGCCCCTCACCCCTTTTAGTGTTGTTGTTTTTTTCCCCCTTCCCTTCTTTCACGGAACAAATAATGACTATTACTATACGTCATGCATCCACTGAGATTCAGTATTACTTAATGATTTAAGCAACAGCACGAGTTTTAAAGCCGTCTGTATTTATATTCCAGCTCTCCCACTCATTATCTGTGACATTAGGCAAGTTCCTTAAGCTGTTTCCTCACCTGTAAAAAAAAAAAAAATTCACCTCATAGGGTTGCTGTGAAGACCACAAGAGTGGTCAGAGAGTTCAGTAAAGATTCTCAGAGAGTTCAGTAGAGCTGCTTGGTATATAACAATATATGCAGTTGGTTACATACATGTAGAGGTCGTAAACTTACATGACAAAGTCTAAACTCCTGATTCTAACCACCATCGTCCTCCCCAAACCAGCTCCCAACAGTCTCCCTCATTTCAGTTAATGGCCACCATATTTTTACAGTTGATGAAAAATTGAAATTATAATGGAGTAATCATAGTTCAAAAAAGATCTTCACGACCCAGATAATCACGATGCTGTGATCACTCACCTAAAGCCAGACATCCTGAAGTGTGAAGTCAAGTGGGCCTTAGGAATCATCACTATCAACAAAGCTAGTGGAGGTGATAGAATTCCAGTTGAGCTATTTCAAATCCTAAAAGATGATGCTGTGAAAGTGCTGCACTCGATATGTCAGCAAATTTGGAAAACTCAGCCGTGGCCACAGGACTGGAAAACTTCTGTCTTCATTCCAATCCCAAAGAAAGGCAATGCCAAAAAATGCTCAGACTACCACATAATTGCACTCATCTTACACGTTAGTAAAGTAATGCTCAAAATTCTCCAAGCCAGTCTTCAACAGTACATGCACCATGACCTTCCAAATGCTCAAGCTGGATTTAGAAAAGNTGCTTTTGAACTGTGGTGTTGAAGAAGACTCTTGAGAGTCCCTTGGACTGCAAGGAGATCCAACCAGTCCATCCTAAAGGAGATCAGTCCTGGGTGTTCATCGGAAGGACTGATGTTGAAGCTGAAACTCCAATACTTTGGCCACCTGATGCAAAGAGCAGACTCATTTGAAAAGACCCTGATGCTGGGAAAGATTGAGGACAGGAGGAGAAGGGGATGACAGAGGATGAGATGGTTGGATGGCATCACCGACTTAATGGACATGAGTTTGAGTAAACTCCAGGAGTTGGTCATGGACAGGGAGGCCTGTTGTGCTGTGGTTCATGGGGTTGCAAAGAGTCAGACATGACTGAGTGACTGAACTGAACTGAATCATAGTTCAGATATACAAAAATGCAGCTGGGAGGCCATTAAGGATCTGGTTTCAGACACATCTCTGCCTCACTGAGAACTTGAACTTTCTTTGAACTATACCAGACCTAAGAATACCACTAGTCATATTCAGAACGACACATGCCAGCTGCAACTTATGGTCTCAGGGTCTTCCCTGGTAACCATGCGACAAATTCAAACCCCAGCTGACCCTTACTTAACAAATACCAAGTCAGGACTTGGTGCTTTCACTGCTGAAGTCCAGGATCAGAACTAAGATCCAACAAGTTGACTGGTGCAGCCAAAACACACACACACACAAAAACAACCTTACTTCTTGCCAGCTCCAATTATAATTTTGATAAATAACTCATGTACCTATAATGTTGTGGGTTTTACCTTCATAAGCCTTCCACATTTTGTAGTCCAGTTCAGTTCAGTCCTCAGTCATGTCTGACTCTTTGTGACCCCATGGACTGCAGCACACCAGGCTTCCCTTTCCATTACCAACTCCTGGAGCTTGCTCAAACTTGTGTCCATTGAGTTGGTGATACCATCCAATCATCTCATCCTCTGTCATCGCCTTCTCCTCCTGTCCTCAATCTTTCCCAGCATCAGGGTGTTTTCCAATGAGTCAGTTCTTCACATCAGTGGCCAAAGTATTGGAGCCTTAGCTTCAGCATCAGTCCTTCCAGTGAATATTCAGGACTGATTTCCTTTAGGATTGACTTGTTTGATCTCCTTGCAGTCCAAGGGACTCTCAAGAGTCTTCTTCAACACCACAGTTCAAAAGCATCAATTCTTCTGTGTTCAGTTTTTTTTAATAGTCCAACTCCCACATCCATACATGACTACTGGAAAAACTATAGCTTTGAGTAGACGGGCCTTTGTAGGGAAAGTAATGTCTCTGCTTTTTAATATGCTGTCTAGGTCTGTCATAGCTTTTCTTTCAAGGAGCAAGTGTCTTTTAATTTCATGGCTGCAGTCACCATCCACAGTGGTTTTGGAGCCCAAGAAAATAAAGTCTCTCACTGTTTCCATTGTTTCCCCATCTATTTGACTGGATGCCATAATCTTAGTTTTTTGAGTTTTAAGCCAACTTTTTCACTCCCCTCTTTCACTTTCATCAAGAGGCTCTTCAGTTCCTCTTTGCTTTCTGCCATAAGGGTGGTGTCATCTGCATATCTGAGGTTATTGATATTTCTCCCTGCAATATTGATTCCAGCTTAAACTTCATCCAGCCCAGGGTTTCTCATGATGTACTCTGCATATAAGTTAAATAAACAGGGTGACAGTTTGACATACAGCCTTGACATACTCCTTCCCCAATTTGGAACCAATTCCATTGTTCCATGTCCAGTTCTAACTGTTGCTTCTTGATCTGCATACAGATTTCTCAGGAGGCACATAAGGTGGTCTGGTAATCCCATCTCTTTAAGAATCTTCCAGTTTGTGATCCATACAAAGGCTTTGGCGTAATCAATAAAGCAGATGTTTTTCTGGAACTCTCTTGCTTTTTCTATGATTCAGTGGATGTTGGCAATTCATTATTTGGTTCCTCTGCCTTTTCTAAAACCAGCTTGAACATCTGGAAGTTCTTGGTTCATGTACTTTTGAAGCCTGACTTGGAGAATTTTTTGAGCATTACTTTGCTAGCGTGTGAGATGAGTGCAATTGTGCGGTAGTGAACATTCTTTGGCATTGCCTTTCTTTGGGATTGGAATGAAAATTGATCTTTCCCAGTCCTGTGGCCACTGCTGAGTTTTCCAAATTTGCTAGCATATTGAGTGCAGCACTTTCACAGCATCATCTTTTAGGATTTGAAATAGCTCAACTGGAATTCCATCACCTCCACTAGCTTTGTTGATAGTGATGATTCCTAAGGCCCACTTGACTTCACACTTCAGGATGTCTGGCTTTAGGTGAGTGATCACACCATCATGGTTATTTGAGTCATTAAGATCTTTTTTGTATAGTTCTTATGTGTATTCTTGACACTTCTTCTTAATATCTTCTGCTTCTGTTAGGTCCATACCATTTCTATCTTTTATTGTGCCCATCTTTGCATGAAGTGTTACCTTGGTATCTCTAATTTTCTTGAAGAGATCTCTAGTCTTTCCCATTCTATTGTTTGTCTCTATATCTTTTGCATTGATCGCTGAGGAAAGCTTTATCTTTCCTTGCTATTCTTTGGAACTCTGCATTCAGATGGGTATCTTTCCTTTTCTCAGCTATTTGTAAGGCCTCCTCTGTCAACCATTTTGCCTTTTTCTTGGGGATGGTCTTGGTCACTGCCTCCTGTACAATGTCACGAACCTTCGTCCATAGTTCTTCAGGCACTCTATCAGGTCTAATCCCTTGAATCTATTTGTCACTTTCACTGTATAATCATAAGGGATTTGATTTAGATCATACATGAATGGTCTAGTAGTTTTCCCTACTTTCTTCAATTTTCGTCTGAATTTTGCAATAAGGAGTTCATGATCTGAGCCACAGTCAGCTCCCAGTCTTGTTTTTGCTGACTGTATAGAGCTTCTCCATCTTTTAAAAAACTGTTATTTTCAGATTACAAACTACAAAAACCAAAATTCCAAAATGTTTAAGAAATTCCAAGATTTTAAGATAATAGGTTCACTGGAAAATTGCAGTTATTCTTTAAGGAGATTATTAGAATTGCCCAGCGAATACAAGATTTTTGTATTTAAAGTCTGGCTTTTAATAAATTTGAGAAAAATGTACTAAAATCAACCTTCTCTGATGGTGCAGCATGAAACAATGAATAAATTTTGGCTTTGAGTAACAAACTGAGGATGCCTCTTACTCAACTTATTCATGCCTGTTTGCTCATTTTATCTACAATATTTAAAACTACTGTCACATAAATGGTGGTGGTAGTTTAGCTGCTAAGTCGTGCCTCACCCATGCGGCTCCAAAT